TATATATATATATATATATATATATATATATACGAAACGACAGCTTTTTGCGTTATGATATCACAAATTGAAGCCATGATTCAACATTCGTTCTAGAGTCGTTTCTTGCCTCTGTCAGGAACGGAGTTCTCTAAACCAACAATTTGATAATTGATAAATGATTAAACTATTCAAATTCTTTTACTGACGGTTCTTTACAGCACTGTACTATCATTCTGATATACACAAGTTTCAAAGAAAAAAAAATAACTATACTTAAAATAACAGTAAAATGCCATTTGCAGCTGATTTAACAAAAAGAGAAGAAATGAATTACCTCTAGGTCACTATAATGAGGGCGATCTTCTTGTCTTTTTTGCAAGCATTGATTCAAAAATTCGCAAAAAATCTTAGAATACGTTTTTGATGGGTTTAACCTTGGTGAGGGTTCACGGGAGATCATTATTTCCATTGCCATGTGAGTGACGGCTTCTGAGTATGGATTTCTTCCAGTTGCTAATTCGTACAGCGTTATCCCAAGGCTCCAAACATCTGCTCGAATTCCGTATTTTTGTTGACCACCAATTCGTTCAGGCTAAAAAGTTTGTTGTCCTTACTATTTTTCATTCCTCAACGATTGTCTGTTGCTTTGAGAATATTGTGTATTACTCGACGTACCGGTAGATAAGCAGATGTACCTAATGAAAACGTTTCTGCCCTGTTAGTGTCAATTAGTCGTCCGCATAAACCAAAGTCACAAAGTTTAATAGTTCCATGTAAATCAATTAATATATTTGCTGGTTTTATATCCCGATGCATCATCTGTGACATATTTGCTCAGTTTACAAGTTATATCAATAATTTACCATTTTTTTAAACTAAGAAGCTGATACTAAGAGAAGATTAGAATGTAACCTGGTACCACTCACATCGTGTGTCTCTTTTTTCATAATTTAAATGTATTTTTATTCTTCCTGTCGCTGCTTTTCCCAAGCAGCAAAAAATTTCGTTTGCAGTTCTTTTTTCTTCTGACCTTTACATAAATATTTAGCCTTTTCTGACTTCTACCGGTTTCCAAAAAATGAAAAAAACATCTGTGTTTGCTAGTATAAACGTGACTTTCAGAATAAAATCATCTTCTGCATCTAAATTTTTTACTATTTTAGAATATTAAACTTCCTTAGCCTGTAACTTTCACGACCTTTTTTTTTCTTGTAATTTTCTCAAGCGCACTTAAAACTTTACAAAGATATTTGCAAATAAGCAGGAAGTTGAAGAAATGACCTGAGAAATTCTAACTTGATCGCGTTTCGTTAGCAGCACCTACTCTGTGATCTAACTTTTGCCTAGACCAATCGGAATAACCACTAATAGAAATATGCAGACGAAAAGATGAGACTTTAATACTCACGCAATGATGAAAAAGAAAATTCAAAAAAATCAGTATTTGTTACAGTTACATTTCCTGAAAAAGTTCATATCCCTATCAGTTTAAGCGGCACATTTTAATCAAATCGGGAGGGAACTTTCCGTACTTTTCAGTACGCTAATGGCTTACTTAAACCCGAGATACTTTATAATTGAAGCGAACTTGAAAATAAAGTTTCAAGACACAATTAACCTTCAAATTAGTTGCTACGAGGTTTTAAAAGTTGTTAACCTAATCTCACTTAAGTTATTCCCTCTAAAAATTTTTAGAACTATTCAGTCTAACACTCCGGCATTTTCTTAATTTAAAATGATCTTACATTATCTAGAAACTGCGGAAAAAAAACAGCTATCAGTTTTTAACTGCTGTTTTCTTCAACAGAGTGTCATAAAAATAGCGTATTTAAGAAATAGAAAGATGGTCAGAATTATTAAGACTATTATTATTATAGTTTTCATTACCCCGCTAGATCTAGTATCTTTGTTCAGAAACCTGTAAAAGCAGAAGTACAGCATTGTCTTAAAACTGCAGATATCTGTTGGTGTAAATTTTATTTTATAAATTCTGTGCGTTATAGAAGACTTTTTTTTTCACTAAGTGGTTGCTTTTATAAATAAAGTAAATTGAGATAAAAAGTAAGCTAAAAAGTAGATACTTACGTGAAGGCTTTTTAAATATCTTAAAGCATTAACAGAAGATAGTGCCACCTGACGAATAATGTTTTCTGGAACCATAGAAATTCTTTTCAAAATTCTGTCAAACCCCATGGCCATCAATTCCAAGCAGATAGTTATTTCCGACTGCAGTAAATAGAGGTGACACAATTAGGTCTAATTACATGATACATACTGCTTTCTGACCTATTTCTCAATTTTGTCAAGTTAAGGTATTCTTTTAGTTTTAATTTACAAATAAAAAAAAAAAGCTAAATAAAACCATATGTAGTAAAAAAAAGTTTTACTTCGGTAACAAAACAACCATAACATTTGACAATATTTGGGCAAGCATGTGCTTCCATAATTACAGCCAAATCGGTAACTGCTGATTTATAGTTTTCCACATTTGAGATTAAAATTTTCTGCAAAATTAATTTTGCAATTTTCGTAAATTTCAAATTTCGTCTCTCAATTTTTTTTATAAATTTTTTTTAGGTTATTTTTATAAATTTATATATATGCAGAAAGTTTTAGGATGGGCACATTAATTAAATGGTGAGTCTAAAAAAAAAAAAAAAAACAGACCATCAAATTCAGCACTCTAAAATATGCCTGTAATGCTAATAACCTTTAAAGCTAATAAGGTGCTTTTATGTTTGCATCTTGCTTTCAAAACGACACCAAAGGAACCTTCGCCGATTACTGAGATTTGCTCTAAAAAATCTGCTGAACATCGATGCGATGTTCCCATTATTGTCAAAAGACCGGAACGCGACCTCAGCTCATTGTATTTCCGGTTAATCTGAAAAGACCGTAAATTCTACTGTTCTGGATTGACTGTTGCATGACAGAAAAAATTGCTAGATGGTTATTGATTTGTTTATCTGAAGTTATTAAAATGAAAAAGAAAAGACTTCAATGAAAACACTTCAATTTTAAGTAAGCGATTAGTAATCTGTTAGGTATAGTCTTCCTTATTTTTTTTATAATGCGTCAGTGACAATTTGTTCTGCTGTCTAACCTGGATAATCCACGCTGTACAAGGCTTGTTATTCAAATGGTAAAAAATCACTAGTAAGCAAGATTTGAACACTCACACGTTCCTCCCTTTCTCTTGCGTCAAGTGGTGAACGCGGTGAATGCAGCGGTGATATACGGTCAACGGTTGCAGGCAGAAGAAGCGGCAGTGTTGGCCTGTTGGGCATCCTTGTCATAGTAATAGTTACATAAAATAAATGCCAATTTCTTGAGTGCTTCTAAATTTTTGAAAAATAACATTTGGGTAGTTCATTATCCAGAAAAAAGATTATTACATATCAAAAAAAAAAAAGCACTTGTTGCATAATACATAGACCGTCGCAGTTTAACATTGCCATCCAACAACTTCCGATACGGTAGGTAGCAGCGGAAAAACCTCCGCCTAACATATGTATAAGGTAATTGAAGTGTCCAAAATGTCCAAACTCCCTCCCTCCCTCCCTCTCCTTCCTCTCACGATGAAGTAATCCTTATAATAAAACTAAGAAGCGATTACCATAAATTTCCTGTACTTTACCTAATAACAGTATACTAGAACAGTAACATTTATCACTGGTTTCTGGGTTATCTTTAGACTCTAATTCACTTATTTATTCGTCCAATGTTAGGTCGTATTTTTATTAACACCATTCAACAGACATAGTGTTTTTTTAGACAAAACACTGTTCATTTCCTTCGCCTCTAATTCAACTATAGTATTAGTCTCAAAGTGTAATATCATCGAATTTCTGTTTTTTGTTTGGGTTGGTTGAGGCCAGAAATAAAGGTGAAGAGATTTGACGACAAAAAAGGTTAGGTGAAATGAGATAAAAGTGAAAAAAAAGAAAAAAAGAAAAAGTTGCCAGTAGATAATTCTAAAAAAAATTTTTTTTTTTGATTAAATTTTTAGCTACCTGGTGCCAGTTTGTAAAAAAATAGGAAAAACAGAGCATTAGTTACTTAGATGAACGACAGCAGTAACAAAAGTGGCAAAAAAAAAAAAATGAAACAATGCCAATAATTTTACAACTTTACAAAAATATTAATAGTAAATTATCGTGATAAGTATAAAAAGAGCCAGAATAAACCACGTTTGACAATTTTTAATAGTGAACAAACAGAAATTATAATCAACCTTAACGTTTAAGAATTATTTTTTAAACTTTTGCTTCTCTTTACCGTTTTGACTACAACTTCTCAATAACTATTATTTCTTGCTTCTTTTCAGCGCTTAACAAACAAAGAATCACACCAAACCAACTTGAAAAAAAAAAAAATCAAAAGAAAAAATAAATTATAGCTTCAACCAGCGTAACAAATGCTTGCAAAATGAACCTCAAAGAATATTACAAAAACTAAGACTTCATTTGACAAAAGACAATAAGATACAGAAAAAAAAAAATTTGGAAAGAATCATGAACAAAAAAAAGAATAAAAACTAATAACATATGTTTAGAAGATCC